AGCTCCAAGGGAAACTTTTTTTTTTTTTCATTCTTTCATTTTTCATCCCATCTTGGTTTCTTCCAGAAATTGCTTCTTTGAGTGGAAATTCAAAGTCTCCCTGGGTAGTTTAGCTTAACCTTTCCCTGTTAACAGTGAAGAATGATGCCTCACAGAGGGACAACTCTTCCTGGTAAATGACATCAGACCAATGTCTGAGTCCACAGCCTCTGTCAGTTCATGTGTGCCCCGCAGCCCTCTAACTTCTAAAAGTCATCCTCGAGCCCTTCCTGTTTCTTAATCATAATTTCTGAATAATAATTTCTATGTTACAAAAATGAGATTTGAAATAAAACTCATACAGCAGGCCCAGGACCAGGGTGTTGAGGTAGGCCAGTGGGTCACACTCCAGAAGCAGGCATGCTCCACTCTTCTAAACCCATGGCCCTTTCTTACAATTTGTTTCTGTGTCTCAAGCAAACAGCACAGGGGGAATAAGAGTGTGTGACATCCGGGGAGCCTGTGAAGCACAAATTGTGGGTTTACATCTGGTAGCCAGGCTTTAGGCAGAGGGACACCATACCAAGTTCCTGATGGGATGAGGCAAAGAGTTCTTGGGCAGGATAACCAGATCTCACTCCTTGGGTCCTGGACAATTCAAGCAGGGACTTGAGACTCTAGATGCTGGAAAATGTCACTAAAACTTACCAGATGTGCTTCTCACCTCTTTATGGGTGCTAAGAAGCCTAGAAGGAAGTGGCTGTATTTGGATCCAGGCAGAGCAACATGCACCTGGATTTGTAGTCTGATAAGCCTCCAGGGGAAGCTCCCGAGCACTGTTTGCTTAGCCAACAGATTCTTTCCCAGCGGCTGCTACCAGGTAGCTCCTTTCTTCAGAAAAGACTTGTAGACTCTTCCTGAAGATTTGGAACTGCCCTATTGCCATTCTGTGGAGCTAGGGACAAAGGCTCGTCTTGAAATTGCAGCAGCATGTGTCTTGGAAGTAGTTTGAGACAGGGGATACACTTAGAATTATGGGGCTTGGCATGGGAGCTGAAGAGCATCTTAGGCAAGGAGGCATGGCTGAAGGGGACATGTGGCAAGATTTGTGCCACTCTGACTGGCTGTGCAAACTCGGCTGAACTACTTCTGTTGCTAAAATCCTGAGTGGCTCTAGGATTTCTAGGACAGGTTTTTAGTCCCTGCTATCCTACTCCCTATTTAAATAACCTCAGCCAAAGGAAGTAGAAAATAAATTAAGGGATAGCTAAGTGTACCAGGCACTGTGCTTGCACTACAACTTGTCCAACTGACCCCAGAGCTTGTTTCCTTTCTCTGTGAACATCCATCCCACACTCAGAGCCAAAGAACCTACATTTGAGGCTCAGCTATGTGCCTCTGGGAAGTCACTTTCATTCTCTGAACCTCATTTCCTCTTCAGAAAAGTGGAATAATCTCTCCCTCTGAACCCATAAGGTGATGGAAAGATTAACATGAAATAGTGTTGCCAAAGAATGCTGATATAAAGTGTACCTAGTAAGTAGGTAATATTCAGACCCTTATGATCTTTGGGGCCGACCAAGGGTGGTTTTTAAAACTATAGCTGGCTGAGCATCTGATTACTGGCCCTGTGAATCCTTATCTTTATAAACACCCCATGCCACAGCTCAGGAGGTTTGGGAAACAGTTCCATCTTGCAGAGGTAAGGGAAGAATACTGTTTGCCTAGACTTCTGATATGTGAGGATTTCTTTCCTCTTTCTCACTCCAGCTAAGATATGACCAGTCCTGACCCTAACTTTGGTCTCTATCCCTGAAGTTTTCCATTCCATTCCTTTGCTGATACAATTTGGCTGTCTCTCAGAACCTCCCAACCAAAGATCCAGAGAAGGGGAAGTGGAAGGAGAGAGAAGGATCTCATCCAATGTATAAATTGTCTTCAGTTACCTAAACCGGGTGAGCTGGCATGGAACTTGTCCAAGCCACAGGGTAGAGAACCAACCAGAGTTTGAATAAGCAGATGAAGTATCTAGGTGCTAATCTCACCCTTCTGTCTTTGGCTGAAAGACTGTATTTTGGTTAAATCCCAAGGGACACATCTTGTATTTATGTTACTGACTTTGCCTGAAATTTCCTAACCTTTCTGGATACATTTTTGGGGTGAAGAAAGTCTAAGACAACTCTTTATGCTTAAAATTCTCAAATGTGTCTACCAAAAGAGGAGCGCCATGGTATGGATGATTTCAGAGTATTGAGCAGTCAGTTCCATTGGCTTTAGGGTGAGTGGCATGGAGGATCCTATTCCTCACTTCAAGTTACTTTGCAAGTTTGCTTCAGTTTCAAATAACATCAGGACTGGTTTACAGTCCGTGAGAATGGTTGGTTGGGGTTTTGGAATGATGGAGCTCAAACTTGGAGGAACCTCATGACTAAAACCTCAGACCTCAAGGGCTCCTGAATGGCAGCACTGGGCCAACCCATTTTATAAAGGAGGAGGTGAAGCCCATAGAAAGAAGCATCATGCCTAGATTCCCAAACTCAGTGCCTTTTCTCTAGCCTACATGCTGCTTTGGACTTCTTTGGGATTATTCTTATCTGTTCCCCTTGCCATCAGTGCCTAGGGTTCAAGGAGGCCCCTTGTATACCAGAATCCAGCACAAGGCAGGTGTTTAGTATCTATGGCTAAAGGAGAGCTGTGCTGTAGTCCTGTTGCTGTTGACCCACTGTATGACCTTTTGCAAGTCCCTGAAGCCTCTAAAATCTCAGTTTCTTATCTGTACTTCAGGGAGTTGGATATGTGGTATCTGTAAGGGGCTCTTACAATTTCTTAGGTGTCTACATGTCTGGCCCAATTTTAGACTCCAACTGCATGAATAACCAGGCCAAGAGTTTTGACTCAAATAATGAACCTCATTGGTTAGGAAGCTCTGCAGAATCCCAGCAAGGGGAAGCCAAGGAAAGAGCTGCCCTCTCCCTTTCCTAAGGTCACAGTGGGAGAGGTGAGCCAATAATAGAAGCAAGGCTCCCTCCTGCTTCATTCACCAGGAGGAGTGAGTAGTGGGACCCAAAGGTCCATGAGGCAGGTGGGAGGTAGGAGGCCTCCACTCCAGTTCTCCTGGTACTGTGTATTTATAAGTGCTAGTTCTCCAGTCCTCAGGCCAGGGATAGTCCAGCAGGGCAAAAAAAAAAAAGGTTAGTTGGGAGCAGATGCCAAAGGGGATTTCATCAGCATAATCCAGTGAGATATAGAAACCAGGACCTACTTCCATATCCTAGGGAGTTCTGCCAATTCTCAGTGCCAGGATCTGGGAGGAAACTCGCTGTACTGTGCCTTGTGACACTTTCCCTTTGTCTGACACTACAGGTTGGCAATCATTGGCTCAAGGTTTCTTCCAAACACAGGTGTCTTCTCATTTCAAATTCTAGACTTTCCCTGGAGACTGAGGACCCAGGTTTCTTCCAGTCTTGAAACAAAAGCTAGGAAGCTGGAGTCATTTCCCCAACCACCTCATTTAGTCTATTTCCTTGACTGCTTTGCAGTTCATGCCTATGATTGTAGCATTTGAGCTTTGAAATGTCAGCCTATGTGGCCATTGGACCTGTTAACTGGTTCAAGCCTTGTTTTTCAGATAAAGAATTGTGACTGGGAGGTGCAAGAGACCCAGGATGGTCTCTCTCAAGCCTCCTTCTTCTCTCTCTCATTCCCTACCTTTCTTGCTTTCTCCAAATCTAGAGACACTGACTTCTCACACATCTGGGTCCCTTTTTTCAAACTCTCTGAGGCCCAGAATCTTTTGTAGGTTCCCCAGAAAAGGAGGCCCATTTCTCCTGAGGCCTGCAGCCAAGCCTCACTTGTTGTCAGGTTCCTTAACATCAAGTTCAAGGTTCTTTCTCAAGGGTTAAATGATGAGAGGAAAAGGAGACCAGAAAAAAATTGTCTTCTTAGCTGCCTTGACTACTGCAAAAACAAACCACGGACTGTCTACTGGTTAACAGAATTCCCTTTGCCCTTCACTGTTTAGTGAAGGGCAAAGGGAATTCTGTGTTGGGAGCCTGAGGAAAAGAAAAGAAAGAATTCATGATATGCTGAAGGCAATGAAGTTGAGGCTTATATAAGACAAGTTATGCTGAGGTTGTTTTTTATTTTTTATTACTATTTTTTATTTTTTTCACATTTTTATTGGTGCATTATAATCACATATAATGGTGGGATTTGTTGTTGCATATTCATTTGTGCACCTGATATAGCAATATAATTTGGCCACTATCATTCCCCAGTATCTTATTATTTTTTAAATAAGCATTTTAGAACAATGTGCTGGGGTTAAGGTTACAAAGGTAAAAGTTGGAGGGCAGCAGGTGTAGCTCAGTGCTAGAGTGCTTGCCTGGCATAGGCAAGGCCCTGGGTTCCATCTCCAGCACCTTAAAAATGTAAATAAAATAAAATACTGGAGGGTGCTTTGTGCCTATTATGAAGTCTAATAGATATGTGCTAAAGATTGTGAAGAAGAGAGGCACTGGGTAAGAGAAGGGCGAGGGAACACTTCTGGCACTGTTGAATTTGAGGAATGAGTAGATGCTGAGGATGGAACTCAGTCCTCAGCCATGGCTACACCTGGGGAGTTTTAAAACCCCAACGTCCAGGACACACTCCTTACCCATTAAATAATAATCTCTGGGGATGGATCCCACACATCATCACTGGAATTTCCAAAATGTAATCTAGGTAAGACCTACTGGTTTAGGGGATAATTTGTACCTCAGGTTGTCAGAGGAACAGAATAGTTAAATGGATGACCATTGTTGCCTTTTGGGTTTGGGTTTTATCTGTTTTTTAAATACTGAGGCTTCTTACTCTTTCTGTAAAGCCAAGGGAATTGCTTTCTGGATTCAGGGCTGGGGAGGAGCAGAAAGGAGGGCAGAGGGTAGGCAAGATGGGGACAGAGAAGAGGGAGATCTGGGACCTGAACCATCTAAGCTGTCTGGGACATTGTCACAAATCACGCATTTCCTTTCTACCAGGACCTCCTGCAGAATTCCCCCAATTCCATGTCTGGCGTCTCCAATAACCCCCAGGGGATTGTGGTCCCAGCCTCAGCGCTCCAGCAGGGCAACATCGCCATGACAACCGTCAACTCACAAGTCGTGTCAGGTCAGTGCAGGGAATACAGAGCTGGGGATCATGGGGAGCACCAGGGGAGAAGGGTGGCCCCTAAGGAATCCCAGGATCAGGGCATGTCCTGTGCTAAGGGAAGGGCTTCCAGCTCTTTCTTGACTACAGTGTTCTGCAAATGGTTGGCACTAAGACCTGATTGGGATGGATTGGATCAAATTTGGGTCAAATTCTCATGCTTCCCTTCCTCCAAGACTTAGTAAGGCTATTTTCTCTTCCCCAAACACTTTCCACCAGAGGCTCTGCTCTAACTCTGGACACCATTCCCCCAGCCCACATACTCCTCCCCTACAAGTGGAAGAAACATGCCTCACTGCCCCAGGGCTGCTGAGCAGAGGGTCTTCACATATCAGTGCCAAGCAAATTGGGATCGCTGCTTGCCTTCTCTCCTCCCACCCTATGGCAGGGGACCCAAAAGCTGGTTGTCTCCTCAGGTGGAGCCTTATACCAACCGGTTACCATGGTAACCTCCCAGGGTCAGGTGGTCACTCAAGCAATCCCCCAGGGAGCCATCCAGATCCAGAACACACAGGTGAGTGTGTGTAAATGTGTGTATATGTGCATGGGTGAGAGGAGGGCACTTCTGAATGCATACTAGCTGTGAGGCACTTTACACAAGTAAATTCATTTAATCCTCACTATTCCTCAAAAGGTATCATTATCCCTACTTTACAGATAAGAAGCTGGGTCTGGTAAAGGTTTTTATCAGCTCCTGGGATTTTGCTGCTTCCCTAGTTATCAAAGGATCCTGCACTTCCTACTCCTAGTCTCCAGATCAAGCCTCTCTGTAACTTGGTGGTGTAGAGTATAGATCTATAGAAAGATCTAAGTCAGAGGCACAAGATCTGACATTAACTCTGTGATCTTGAATAGGTCTCCTAACCTCTCTGAGCCTCAGAGTTCTTATCAATAAAGGGGGGGATTAATAACCAACTGCACACAGCCCAACCTCCTACAGGGTTGTTGGAGGATTAACCATGGCGATGGATAGGAAAGTGCTTTGCTAACTCTAAATTATCACAGAAATGCTAATAACTATTAAATGGTTTACAGCAAATTGACATCTTCCATACTCTCTGCATGGTCTTATTTCTTCTATCTTTTCTCACCTCCCTCTCTCCTTCCTCCCCTCTAGCTTTTCCTTCTCCTTCTCTTCTCCCCTCACCCCAAGCCTCATCTTCTTTCTCTGAGGGGCTGATGTGGGAGGAGAGGGAAAGGTGACCTTCCCAGGGTCCTGGGAATGAGTTGGGAAAGGGAGTTGGCTGGGAGAGCCCACCATCTCTAAGGCAACAGGTCCCCAGCTGACTTTTTCTCCACATGCCCTGAAGGTTAACCTTGACCTCACCTCCCTCCTGGACAATGAGGATAAGAAGTCTAAGAACAAACGAGGAGTCTTGCCCAAACATGCCACCAATATAATGCGTTCTTGGCTCTTCCAACATCTCATGGTGAGTGTGTGTGAATGTGTATGGCGGGGGTGGGGGGTCACATTGAGGATGCCAGACGGATATCATCTCCAGACCTGCAGGGTATGGCCTCAGAGAGGGTGATAGGAGTATCAGTTGGAGGCCAGCCCAGGAGAGGCTCCCTCTCCTCCCCCTCCTTTGGGGGGGGGGAGCTAAAGCTGGGAGGCTTTCTAGTACTTGCTGCTGTTATTGCCTCAAAAATAGATGACAATAAAGGGGCTAATAGGAATGAACACTTTGGAAAGAGTTCAGTACTGGGCATGTGTACAACATTGTTTTGTGGACAGAGTAAAGTTCAAGAGGAGGTATTGTGATTACTGGAAGAACAGGTTAATTCTCTCTCAGGGTCCAAAGTTTACTCTTCTGGGGGAAGCAATGTATGTATCCATTTCCCTCTGGGTTAGAGCCACTGGACAAGGTACAGCTTAGGGGAGCTTGGTTAGAACACCAGCTCTGGAGAACAGATGAGGCTGGAATCCTGGCTTTTTCACATAACCAGCTCAGCTCTGTGACACAGAGCCACTGCTGTCATAGGCCTCAGTTCCCACCTTCTTAAAATGATGCAATTCCTTGGGTTTAAATGCAGTGTTTACAAAACGCCTACTATGTGCACATAACATGATGGCAGTTACGTGTTTGCATGTGGTGTTAGCTATAAAAGACAAGCCTTTGGTTGAATGTTAGGAATGACTTCAAAGTTATAATCCCCTACGCACTAATTTCAAGGGCTATAGCAATTAAGACCAAGGACTGTGTGGGTCTGACGTGTGTGTGTCGTGGGGTAGGAAGCAGATTCTGTGACCACAGGCAGGCGTCCAGCAGTCTGATGTGGCAACAGGACACATGCATATACAAGACAAATGCAGAGGGGCTATGGATACATGGACCAAGAACTGTGGGAAGAACCAGGAATGAAGAGAGATCTTCCTTTAGAGAGGAGAGAAATCAAATGGACCATGGGAATTAATTAATCAGTCAATCCACATCCCTTTATCTGAAATGGGAGAGCCTCCAGAAGCTACAGAAACTAAGCCTCAGCAATGGCTCTCAGATGTTGGGAGCAGAAGACTGAATATGGTCTTAAGGATTCTGTCTTAGAGATGCTGGTCTTTTGTGTGCGCAGAGAATGGGAAGAATCACTGTTTGGCATCTCCCCAAAGCTATCCACCCAACTCTCAGGACTTGGTGCATCTCCAGTGTGTTGCTGAACAACCTCATTTTAAAATCTCTATGTAGTTTGGAAATCTGGAGTTTTGAGTTAGAAAACTAATTTAGACAGAAGAGGCTAGAAGACTAAGAGTTAAGGCAAGGAGAAGAAGCTGGAGAAACATCCCAGAGCCTAAGCAATCAAGTAAGGGAACCAGGGACGTCCAGTCTGGATCTCCAGGGGTGATGCTCTGGTTTCCTGTCTGTTCTGGTTTCCCAAATTTTCAGAAAACCAAGGATCCATTTGGCCAGTTGATGGCCCCAGAAGCCCAGGGTCTTGTTAGAGCTTACATCCCACACATGGGAAAGAGGGCTTCCCTAGAGAAAGATCTGTCATCTCTGCATGGACCTGTCTGTCACAACCAAAATCAGGGCAACACAGGCTACCCTATCCCTCAATGGATCAGAACCAGGCTCCATGCATTGTGGTGTGATGACAGGGAACAATAGGATGGAAAGTTCATGGGCTTTCAAGGCAACCAAACCTGGGTTCAAATCTAGATTTTACCTTTTATTCTCTAATCTGGCCACTCTCACCTCTTGTAAAGATCATAATGAGGGCTGGGGTTGTGGCTCAGCGGTGGAGCACTCACCTTGCACGTGCAAGGCCCTGGGTTTGATCCTTAGCACCACATAAAAATAAATAAATAAAACAAAGAAATATTGTGTCCAACTATAAATTTAAAAAAAAAATCACAATGAGGTCATGAAATAGTTACAAAGACCCTGGAACACCGAGGTGCTTAATAAATGCTCATTCCCTTTCCTCCTTCACCCCTGGTCCCCATGCATTTTTTAATTTGCATAAAGACCTTTTAATTAATTAATTAATTAATTAATTTTTGTTAGAAAGGAATCCCTATGTTTAGAAGTATCCAAACACTTCAGGCAAACTTGAGCCCATGAGATCCAATTCAGTTTCAACTCAGAAGTAAATGGTGCAATACAGAAAATATTCTACTCACTTAGGTTTGGGTCAAAATGTAATGCTTCCATTCTAGCCCAAGATCTGTAGGCATGCTATTTTAACAGAAGAACAAAAATGTATGTGTTTAGAGAACCAATCACAATCAAATCTTCACCCAGCAAGTTCTGTATAAACATTAAGTTGGCTATAAAGCATTCATCCAGCTGTTTCTTTTCAAATTTGCTCAGGCCACACACACAAGAATAGACATAAACTAAAAATAACACAATAACCAGAGGCTGACATCTGAAATCCTCTTCCATTAAAGCATCCAGGTCAATGCAACAAGTACTTACACTAAGAGCTGAAATGTTGGGAAATGGTTCAATTGGTAGGGTTGGATATTAGCATACATCTCCCAACTGCCCAATGATGCTACATAGAATTCATATCTATGAAATATCTGCTTTCTAAAATCCTTCAGAGAATCCCTGACAGGAGTGCCCTTATACCATACTATTTGGCATAAACCCAGGAATCAGGAACTACCCTTTGCATTTTTTAAAATGGTTGTAAACACATCTGCAAACCACCTCATCTACCCTCCACTCCCTATCTGCAGCTCAACTTTTTAGCCTGAGACTGGCGGGTCACCCAGCTCAATCCCTTCTGGCTGTGCCCACCTCTCACCTGGGTTCATGTCCTGCCCTTTCCTTGTGAGCATCCTCTATAGTTCAGGGTCTGTTCTTTCTGCTCTATGGTTACTTCCAACTGGATTTGGGAAGAAAGAAGAAGAGAGAGGAAGAGAAGAGGCAGGAGAATTAGCTGAGCACCAAACAGAAGAGAATAAAGGACCTATGTTGGCTTTATAAAGACACTTAGGACAGTAGAGAAGACTTGCCAAAAAGGATACATATGAGCCTTCGCCTACCTTCACTCACCCACTCTGCTATTCTCTGTAGCCTGGAAGTGCTTGCAGCTGCAGATGCTAGTAAGAAAGCACTTAGCATTGGCAAAGTCCTCCCATAGCTAATGCCTTTAAGACAGTGGCCTCAGGAGATGAGAAGGGATGGGCTGCCAGGCCTCTAAAGTCAGAACCCAGAACTTCTGAACTGAAAAATTCTGGTCACTCTAGAGTAATAAGTATACACAGCTGGCCTCTACAGATCACAACTCCCCCTGCAGCCCACAGCTGTCCACTACAGACCAGAGCTGTGCCCTGCAGATCATGGCTGTACTCTGCAGACCACAGATGAGCCACACAACCTGAGCATCATCAGAGCAGCCTGGTCATCTGTGTACATGTGCACATACATACACTCCCTGCCAGACCCTAGCTTTAGGACAGAAGCTAAAAGCCTCCTGGTAACCAGGCTCAGGGGAGGGAGACAGGCTTTGAAGCCAAGCAGATTGGGGTATGAATTGAATTTCTTGCAGTAGCTACATGATCACTCTGATTTTATTTCTTTGAAAAGAATAAGGTATTTATTTCCCCTGGTTGTGAACATTAAATAAGAGAACATCCTTAAAGAGCCAGGTCTTCCATATGGTCAATTTAAGAAATTGTTCACTTTGAACTTTCCAGAACAGCCAACCAAGAGCAAGTTTTTAAGGGTAAAGCTCAACATTTGTGAAAATTAATTAAAGGTGGATGGCTAATGTGTCATTTTGATCTGTAACACCTGCTGAGTTTCCCATCATCTGATCCTAAGAGTATACTGACAAGCACAGTGGTTTTCCCATGCTATGTGTGTGCATCAAATCTATATTCGTTATGGCTCTGACTCTGTGCTAAATTTCTCAAGAATAGGGACCATGCGTTTCCCTTGTCTGTGGGCCCTATGGCATTGGTTCCCAATGTATGTACCTTCCTAGGACTTTGCTTGGCATTGTTGCCAAAAAGGAGTTCCTTGGTGAAATGTTTGAGCAAATCTGGGTTCTACAAAGGTTAGCCTATTTCTTTTCTCAGTGTACTAGGTGGCATTGGGAGTTCACAAGAGGGTTAAGGCTTGAGGCTTCTTCCAAATGTATTTGATGGCTCCAAATCATTCTCCTTGTCATTGTTGCTGTGAGAAACAACCCTGAGACAGAACAACTCTTGGGAGAGAGAACCTCGGGGTAACAGCATAGTGGGCATGCAGTAGCTACTCAGTTTGGGGAAAGAAGAGTGGAGAAGGTATAAAGTAAAAACACACCTCAGTGTTCCACAGCTATTCTGTATCCGGTGCAGCTGGGACAACTAGTTTGTTGGTTAGATAATTGAAAAAGATGGTTAAAAAAAAAAAAGGAGCAACCATTCAAAAAAATTGCTTTATGTTAATTTAAAAGATGTGTATAAATTCATTTGCTAATTTTTGATGTAGGACCACGGTCTTTTTCTGATTAATGTTCATAATTTTTCTTGAATAAACCTTTTCCATAATAAAATTTCTTTAAATTCCATGTTTATTTAAAGAGAAATAAGAACATTGACATTTGGGAGCTAATCTGGCTATAAGATCTTTCTGGATTATTATTGTACATTCCAATGCCCTATATCTGACTCACTTGATCCTAACTATTCAGCTTTTCCTTTCCTTTCCTTCTTTTTTTTTTTTTTAACCTAGGTCCTTGAGCATGCTAGACAAGTGCTCTCTACCACCAAGCCTACTATTACTATTATTACTACTATTACTATTACTATTACCCACTCCATATTTAGCATTTTTAAGCAAATTTGAGTTTCAAGATTTTCCAAAGCATTTTTAGTTATCTTAGCAACAGAACTCTTTCTTTTGGCACTCATATTTCATTGGTTTACAGGGCAGGTCATTAAATTATATTGTTATAACATCTTTAACTGTCATACGCCAATCTGGATACTAACACT